AAAAGACCAAAGACTAGTAATAGACGGCAATCTAGCCAAAAACAAAATTATTGAATTGGCTCTGAAATTTGACAAAGAACTTTTAAAACTTCTTCTCTCCTCCCCGGAAATTAAACCAATATTTTTCCAAGAAGTAGAAAATATCCTCGTTTTTGACAAAATAAAATTTCAAAATTTCGTTTCTAATAAACAATTTCTCCCGGACAGTTTTACTAAATACAAAAACAAAATAGGGATTAACCGCCGATGGTAATTATCTTACTGACAGCAAAGAAGTAGTTTTGGCATGACCTTATAAAGATTGTATTTTGGAAGGAGGACAGACCAAAGAGGACACCAAAAGGCATGAAATATTTTGAAATGAAACACTGGCGCCAGATGAAATTGACCGCCTGCTTACGCCCAAAGTTTTGACTAATTTTCAAAAATACGAAGCAGGAAAAGAAGTGCCAATTAACGATATTTTGCCAAACGACAATTTAATTATCAAAGGCAATAATCTCCTATCTCTTTATTCTCTAAAAGAAAAATATCAAGGCAAAATCAAATTAATTTATATTGACCCCCCTTATAATCCGGATAGTAAATCAAATACTTTTGTTTATAACAATGGTTTTAACCAACCCTAGCAAGAAGTCCCCTTGTTCTATAACTGGGGGATGAATTGCTAAAATATAACATATACTTAAAAGTATAAACAAAGGATGAAATAACTCCATGAAATAAATGGAGATAAAGTTCTCACGAACACTTGCTAGTTGGCAAGAATGGCTCGGTTTGAGCCTTCGGGGAGACTAGGTGATAGCCTTGTCTAGGAACCGAGAAGCCCCCACTTCTATAAGTGGTGGGTAGTTCACTGAATCTACTTGATTAACTTTTATGAAAAATAGGCTGGAAGTTGCTAAAAAATTACTAACTTCTGATGGTTGTCTAATTGTGGCAATTGACAAGAACGAACAAGCCGAATTAACTGTTTTATTGAAAGAATTATTTCGGGGCTATGAAATTTATGTTATAACTATCGTTCATAATCCAAGAGGAGCCCAAGGGACAAATTTTTCTTATACTCATGAATACGCTATTTTTGCTGTTCCACAAGGTAAAAAATCTATTGGTGTGAAAAAAGTTGACGTTTACTGAATGAACCTGCGTAATGTAGGCGGAGAGAGTTTGAGGACCGACGCTAAAAATTGTTTTTATCCTATTATTATTGAAAATGAAAAAGTAATTGGTTTTGGAGAAGTAGTTGCCGACGATTATCATCCGGAAAAGCAGACGATTGAGAAAGACGGTCAATTTTATGTCTGGCCTATTGATAAAGATAAAATTGAAAGAAAATGACGTTACGCTCGGCAAAGTGTAGAAGAAATTAAAAAACTTTTGCGAGTAAAAAAAACAAAAAGTGGTTATGAGATTGAACTTGGAAAAGACTTTGGAACTTATAAAACTGTTTGAATTGACCCTAAATACGACGCAAATATTTACGGAACTCAAATTCTTAAATCTCTGGTGCCGAATGCCCCATTTACTTTTCCCAAATCCCTTTGAAACGTCTATGACTGCCTTTATGCGGTTGTTGGTAATGATAAGAATGCGATAATTTTAGACTTTTTTGCTGGCAGTGGCACCACGGCTCATGCGGTTTTAGAACTTAATAAGCAAGACGGAGGAAACCGAAAATTTGTCCTCTGCGAACAAATGGATTATATTGAAACCGTAACCAAAGAAAGAATTAGAAAAGTTTGTGAAATTGATAATCAAGGTTCTTTTGTTTATTGTGAATTAGCGGAATTTAATCAACAATTTATTAACCAAATTCAAGGAGCAAAAAATACTGCTGACCTTTGAAAAATTTGAGAGAGAATGAAAAAAATTGCTTTTTTGAGTTATAAGATAGAGCCAAAGGATATTGACAATTCCAAACAAGAATTTACAGAATTATCATTTACCGACCAGAAAAAATTTTTGATTTCCCTGTTGGATAAAAATCTTTTGTATGTTCCTTATTGCGATATGGAGGATAGAAGTTATGGAATTACTGAAGAAGTTAAAAAATTAAATTATAGACTTTATGGGGAAAAGTAAAAAATACACAATTTCCCCACCTCTTTTCATTTTTTTTTTTTGTTTAATAAGTAATTAGATTACTGACAGTGGATGCAAAAGTATTTTCCATCTCTTCTTTTTCTTAGTTCAGATGTATAAAACTCGTAATTGCATCCATCGCAAAATCTTTTTTCTTCGTTCATATAATATTATTTTAAGGATTTAGAGAATTTTTTATCCGCCTGTAAACTTATAACAGACATATACCTCTCTCCTAAAATTACTAATATATTATGAAGTTTATTTAATATTAAATCTACAATTACTCCCAAAGATTATAGTGTAGTCCGGGAAATGCTAAAAAAAGAAAGAGGGGAAAAGTTGGCTCCTTTTATTTATAAATTAAGCAGATTAGAAAGTTTGGAAGGAAAATATTAACTATGAAGTTTATCAATCAATAAAAA